AACGACGAACGACGACGACGACGACGACGAGGACGATGGACGACGACGACGACGACGACGAACGACGACGGACGACGACGACGACGACGGACGACGGACGGACGAAGGACGACGGACGACGGACGACGACGAACGACGACGACAACGACGACGACGCCAACGACGACGCCGACGACGACGACGACGACGACGCCGACGCCGACGAACGAACGACTACGACTACACGACGACGATACGACGTTACGACGACGACGACGACGATACGACGACGACGACGACGACGATGACGACGACGACGACGAGGGGGAGGAGGAGGGGGAAAGGCGGAGACGGGAGGATGAGGATAAGAAGGGGGAGAATGCCAGGAGGGAAAAAACGACGACGACGACGACGACGACGACGACGACGACGACGACGACGACGATACGACGATACGACGACGACGACGACGATACGACGACGACGACGACGACGATGACGACGACGACGACGAGGGGGAGGAGGAGGGGGAAAGGCGGAGACGGGAGGATGAGGATAAGAAGGGGGAGAATGCCAGGAGGGAAAAAATGGGGGCAGGAGGGGAACGGGGGGAGGAGCAAGGAGGGGCTGCGATGGGGGGACAAGGGGGGAGAGGCTGGGGGAGGGGGAGGAAGGAGGAGGAAGAGGAAGACAAGGAGGAGGAGGAGGAGGAGGTGGAGAGGAAGGAGGAGAAAGAGGAGAAGGAGGGGGGGAAGGAGCAGGAGGATGAGGAGGAGGCGCGGAGGCAGAAGGAGAAGTAGGAGTAAGAGGAGGAGGAGGAGGAGTAAGAGGAGGAGGAGGAGGAGGAGAAGGAAGAGGAGGAGGAGGAGGAGGAGGAAGAGAGAAGGGGAGGAAGAGGAGACTGGAAAAAGAGAGAAGAGAAGACAGAGGCGAGCTTGGTGCGTTCGCGCCACATCTGAAATCCGATCCCTCCCCTCCATCCCTTCCCACTGCGTTCATTGTGTCTCCCTACCGACGGAGGCGTGTCATAGCAGACCTGCAACGACGCTACAGAATTGCAAATGTGTCCTGTGGGACCCGTGAGCCAGGTGGGGACGGTGGGGCGCGTGCGATGTGTGGAACCTGTGGAACCAGCGGGACCTCCATGGCCTGTGGGCCCTGTGGGTCCTGTAAGGACCTGTGGGGCCCGTGAGACCTGCGGGACCAGTCGAACAAGTGGGAAGAACTAGGGACCTGTGGGGCCTGTGGGACCTGCGGAACTTCTGGGACATGTGCGACATGGGGGACCTTTTGTAGCCCGTAGACGTCAGCGCCCTGTGGCATCCCCAAGATTTGGCAAGCTCGCACCCCCCACCAAAAAAACACGCACACACACACACACACACACACACACACACACACGCGCACACACAAACACACGCGCACACACACAAACACACACACAAATGACAACGACAATCAAAATATTCAGGAATGCGGGCGGGTCTTTGAAATTCGATAGGCATATGCAAGGATGTGTGGAAACTGCGCACGCCGCTGGAATGATCCCGAGAAGGACGCACATGTTTCTGGTCGGACCCTGGTCGAATCGCACTTATATTGGTCGGAACTACAATCTGAGTTGCGCGAACGCTCTCGCAGGGGGGGATTGAAGCTCATGCAGGGGCGTCGTAGACTGCCGGTATGCGTCGTAGAACAATGTTCCCGTCGCACGCGCACTAAGTTACCCTGGTTCCTGCCGGGATCCCACCGGGTCTTGCGGAGATCCTCCGCGGGATTCGAAGTCCTGCAGGACGCGCTCCTCTCGGCGGGCGATCCTCGAGCCCCCTCGTCCCACGCACCCCGGACCACCCCCTCGTGACCCTCGCGCTGCGTCTCGCTGGAGCGCGTCTCCGGGGAGCGGGCGCGGCGCGACGCCGGCAGCGGAGAATCTGCAGCAGCCGGCGCCCAACGCGTCGTCTCCGAGGCCGCCCTGGGGGGCCACACCTGGCTCACCGCTTTGGCCCCTTGGCGTCGTCGCAGCGGCCCCGGAGGCCCCGCGAAGCTCCGCCGCGGGTCTGAACACAAATCGCAGGCCAGGAGCTCCCCAGCGAGCGCCGCGGCCGAGGACGACTGGGCGCGCGCCGCGGCGAGATCCGCGGGCGGCCATCCATCGGCGGATCGTCGCTTGCCGGACGCGGGCGTCGGCGGGTAAATCGTCGCGCAGGAGCATTGTTTTGCGCTGTCCAGCGCGATCGCCGCTGCCGCGGAGTTCGGCCGCGCGCTGGCCAGCAAACCCCGGGTCGAGAACAGCCCTGGCCCCGCAGTGAAAAGCCGGGCCCCCGGGCGCGGCCTCGGGCGGCACGGAGGCCACCGCCTCGCGCGCCGTCCGCCCCCGCCGCCCAGGCCCTGCGGGCTTCCTCGGCCGCCGCGCCGACCTCCTCGACCCAGGCCACACGGGCGCGCCGGCCCCCCTTCGGCCGGCTGCCCTTCCGCGCGTCCGTCGGCCCGCGGGCGGCCGCGCAGAGCTCCGAAGTCCTCTCGTGGGGCTCGTCGTCCGCCCTCCCGCGCGCGCCGCGGGCGCCCCTGCCGCGGCGCGCCCTTGGCCCCGGGGCGCGCGGGGGGCCACTGCGCGGCCAGGCTGACGGATGCCAACGAAAGCGGCAGGGTCTGGGGGACAGGGCGGGGACTGCGCGCCAGGGCGCCCTGCGCACCTGCCGCGGAGGTCGCCCCGGGAGAGCTCTTGGGATTTCGGACTGCGCGAGGGGCGACGAAGGGCCGACGGCACATGCCTCAGCAAGCAGCCGCGCGAACGCACGCCGGAAGGGAATTGTGAGGCAACCGCATTCGCGACGCAGCCCCATCCACGTCGCGGCAACGCCGTCAACGCGCGGAGCGCAGGCACGCGCGCATGCGCGGGGCCGACGGGCCCTGTACACGCGCGGCAACTGGGTGGCTATCAGCGCTGGCGGAGCACAGGAGAAGAGCGGCGCCCCGAAGCAACCCAGCGCGTGGCCAACGGGGAGAGAGAGAGAGAGACAAAAAAAACGACAAACACACACACACACACACACAAAAAAAAAAACAAAAAAACAAAAAAAAAAAAAAAAAAAAAAAAAAAAAAAAAAAAAAAAAAAAATGGGAAGGGCGAACAGCGTCGCGCACGCACGAATTTCCAACGCGCCCCGACGCGCCCAAGCAACGCCAAGACGCGTCCGCGGCGGGGGCGATCCTGGCGGGCAGCGCGCAGTGGAGTGCGGCTCTCCGTGGAAGATCCATGTAAGATCGCGGCTCAGAGACGCCAGATATCAAGGCTCCCAGCTCTGCGCGAGGTCGAGCACGCACGCCCTGGAAAATCATGCGGGCGCTGTCAGGCGGAAGCACGTGGGGCGCCGAAAGTTTGGCCACGCCCGCTGACCTTTCCCGCGCGCTCGAGGCCGTCCTCGGCGCCGGGGGGGGGGCAGGAAGCAGCGCGGCCTTAGCTCCGACTGCAGCCCGCAAGCCTGAACGACGCGCTCGCCGTCGCCGGCACCGTCCAGTGCGGCTCCTCTGCTTCCCGGGTGGCCGTTGGCGTCGGGGCCGTTGCAGGCGCCGGGCTGACCGTCGGTGCAGCCGCCGCCTCTGGCAGAGCCTTCGCGTCTGCGGCTGGCGTTGGGGCTGCGGCTGGCGCCGGGGGCGCGCCGCGTCGGTGCCGCCGCCGTGGGAAGCGCAGCCTTCGGCGCCGGCTCCGCGCCTGCGGAGTCCACCACCCGTGGGTCCTGCAAGGGGAGGCTGCGGGCGAAATGGCCCCGGGGAGCCTGCGCCTCGCCGTGGATGCTTTCCTCGCCCAGCACCGCGTGCGTTTGTCTCGAGCTCCGCCTGCTGCCATTCCAGCGTCCTGGCCACGACCGTGTCCCTGTGCCGTGCCTTCGCCGCCGGGTGACGCCTTCACCTCCTCCTACTCTCTCGGCGTTGCTCGGCCGCGCCCTCAACGTCAAACGATCCCTGGAGCGAAACTTCGGGACGACAACGCGAGTCAAGCTCTTCCAGTAAGCGTGCATTCGGCGAAGCCGATGGAGTAGAAAAACTGCCAGATGGTGGCAGGACAGGCTGACCCAAAAAAAATGTCAGCCACGGACAGCACCTGCCCTGGGCGGCATCCCCTCTCAGACGGCGGCTCTCTCTCGCAGTTTACGCCACGCGGTGGAGAGGCAATCGTAGAGCCCAACACACCAGCACTGGTTCCCAACAACGCCGCCATCCGGCCTCCAAGTATCGAGAGGGGGGCCTCACGATCATGCGCCATCCCAGCCCGACCGTGGCACCCCGTGCCCCCCCCCCCCCCATCTTCCCCTTGTGGCCCCCCCTCTGCTTATTCCGACCGACCGACCGTGCCCCACCACCCCTGCCCGACCGTGCTCCCCCGCGCCCCCCCCTGCTTCTTCCGACCGACCGACCGTGCCTCCCCTCTGCCTGCCCGACCGTGGCCCCCCGTGCACCCCCACTCCCTCCGTAGCCCCCCCCCCTTCTGCGAATTCCGACCGACCGACCGTGTTTCCCCCCCCCCTGCCCGACCGTTGCCCCCCGCGCCCTCCCCTTTTCCCCCCGTGCCCCCCCCCCCCCCCGCTTATTCCGACCGACCGATCGTGCCCCCCCCCCTCCCTGCCCGACCGTGGCCCCCCGTGCCCCCCCCCCCTTTTTGCTCATTCCGACGACCGACCGTGGCGCCAAATTACACCATGGTTCCCGACGAGCTCACAGTGAAGTAACAAGTTCTGCACACCGAGGCTTCCAAGAGCGAACAATATTTCAAACACTGGTCAAGCATATATTATCGTTCTCTTGAGGCCCTCTCGGAAGGTTTCTTTGAAGGCCTCTTGGGCCGTCTTGGGGGGCATCTTGGACCGTCTGGAGGCCATCTTGGGCGTGTTGCACCGATCGTTCGACGACGCGGGGCCCTTTTCCCACCATCTTGGGAGTCTCTGAAGGCCCTCTTGGCCCGACTTCGGGCAGTCGTGTCGTCCCAAAAGCCTACGCGACACACCCCGGGCCCGCGCAAGAGCGCGCAAGAGCGCCTGGGAAACCAAGGGTCCAGGCCCTTAAAAACCTTACAACCCCACTGCCTCTCCTCCTCCCTCCTCCTCCTCCTCCTCCTCCTCCTCCTCCTCCTCCTCCTCCTCCTCCTCCTCCCCTCCTCCTCCTCCTCCTCCTCCTCCTCCTCCTCCTCCTCCTCCTCCCCTCCCCTCCTCCTCCTCCCCCCTCCTCCTCCTCCTCCTCCTCCTCCTCCTCCTCCTCCTCCTCCTCCTCCTCTCCTCCTCCTCCTCCTCCTCCCCTCCTCCTCCTCCTCCTCCTCCTCCTCCTCCTCCTCCTCCTCCTCCTCCTCCTCCTCCTCCCTCCTCCTCCTCCTCCTCCTCTCTCTTCCTCTTTCGTGCCTTGTTTCTCTTCCGACGACGACGACGACGACGACGACGACGACGACGACGACGACGACGACGACGACGACGACGACGACGACGGCGGCGGCGGCGGCGGCGGCGGCGGCGGCGGCGGCGGTGGTGGCGGCGGCGACAGCGACGACCACGACGGCGGCGGCGGCGTCGAGGCGGCGGGGCGGGGCGCAGTCTTCATCGTCGCGCCGCAGATCGCGGTGGCGGGGACGTCTCGGGGGCCGGGGGGCAGCACGGCGCCGCTCGCCGGCGCGGCGGCCGCCCAGGCCACTCCGCGGCGGCCGCCGCGGTCGCCAGCCTGGCCATCGCTCTCGCCAGGCCCAGCCGCCGCCTCCGTCGTCGCCCTCGTGAGCGTCGCTGCGGTCGTCGTCGTCGTCGCCGCTGTCGTGGCCGTCGTCGACTCGTAGCCGTAGCCGACGCCCTCGCACTGGCGGGAGCAGGAGCAGGGAAAGCTGGCGCCGCGGGCAATGACATAGAGGTTCCAATGTCAAATTGCGACGTTTGGGTCGCTCCTGGACCACCTGGGGCGCCGCCGTAGCCACGGCCGAACACCCCTCCAGCTTCTGATCGGAGCACACCCCCGGAGAGGTCCCAGGCGCAATGTCTGATCTGCGGGCCACCGGCACCGCCGGGTCGGACGAGGGGGGAGGGGAGAGTCAACCCGCCCGGCGGGTTTCCCCGGCGCCTCCTCGCGCCGAGAGCAAGGAAGCACCGAGGAGCGCGCCCAGCGGCGAGGCCGAGACAAGCTGCACGCAGCAGGTGTCGTAGCCCTCCCGTTCCTGCTCCCGCCCCTTCGTCCCAGCCAACACCGCGAGGGGCCAGGGAGGATCATCCTGGTGGTGCGGTCCCCCCTGGTGTTGCGGCGCAGTGCATCCTCAGTCTGTCTCGGGGCGGCAACGCGGCTCGCTGGTGGTGGTGGTGGTGGTGGTGGTGGTGGTGGTGGTGGTGGTGGTGGTGTCGCGTTCCCTGGCTCCGAGGATCAAGGATTCGAGGAGCGAGCTTTGTTGGAACGCTTGGGAAGATGGGAGGGAAGGGGGACGAAGATGCGAGGATCGAGTTGTTTGGAAGGCTTGAAGCGGTTGAGGGGTAGGGAAACGAGGATTCGAGGATCGAGCATTCGGGGAATGTTTTGGCAATCGAAGGGAAGGCGAGCAAGGATTCGAGAATGCAGGGGTGCGATGATTCGAGGATTGGGTTCTTCAGGAAGCCCTGGGATGACCGAGTAGGGGTGCGGAGCAAGGATTTCAGGAACGAGCCTTTGTTTTTGATTTTGAAATCCGGTAGCCATTGAAGAAAGGAGTAGGATGACTCGAGGATCGATCCTGGGAAATTCTTGCGCGATTCACAAGAAAGGTGAGCGAGGATTCAAGTATCGAGTTTAGGTGATCCCTTGAAGTGATCGAAGGAAAGGGGGCCGACAATTCGAGGACCCATCGAGTGTCCTGTCATTGGAATGCTTGGGGAGATCGAGGCAAGGGGCCGCGGACTTGCCGAAAGGGCATAACCCCCCCCTTCCCCCAGTAGAAATCAAGAAGAGATGTTTCAGGCCCCTGCCATCGGCGGGATAACTAAGCCCTGGGGCCCTGGGCCTCTGTAATTATGTATGAGATCCCGGACCGAAAGTATCCCTATCCCATTGGCTGTGTACACGAGAGAATGATTATCCCAGCGTCTCCCAAAACCCGGCCTCAATAATCCCATTTGTTGTTCACATTAGAAAAATGATCCCGGACTGCTCCCGACTTCGGCTTCCGGTGATCTCGGTCCTTCGCATTGCAGACAAAAACTTTCGCCCCGCCAAAGCAACCACGGCGAGCCTCGGCAACGAAGGGGCTCCACGACCTGCAGCGAAGTAGCGGCCCGCAAGCCAGAGCCCCCCCCCTCGCTCGGACCCAGAGCGCTCCCGATGCCAGCGGCTCGACTGCACGCTTGCCCTTCTCCTCCTCCTCCTCCTCCTCCTCCTCCCTCCTCCTCCTCCTCCTCCTCCTCCTCTCCTCCTCCTCTCCTCCTCCTCCTCCTCCTCCTCCTCCTCCTCCTCCTCCTCCTCCTCCTCCTCCTCCTCCTCCTCCTCCTCCTCCTCCTCCTCCTCCTCCTCCTCCTCCCCTCCTCCTCTCCTCCTCACTCCTCCTCCTCCTCCTCCTCCTCCTCCTCCTCCTCCTCCTCCTCCTCCTCCTCCTCCTCCTCCTCCTCCTCCTCCTCCTCCTCCTCCTCCTCCTCCTCCTCCTCCTCCTCCTCCTCCTCCTCCTCCTCCTCCTCCTCCTCCTCCTCCTCCTCCTCCTCCTCCTCCCTCCCGCACCCCCTGAGAGGGCGGCTCCTGTGGCCAGCTCGACGGAGACGCCAGGCGTGAAGAAGCGGGTGAAGAGCATCACCAGCAGCGAGGTGACCTAGCGCTGGTCGGCCACTGGGGGCCACGGCGGCAGGGGAGAGGGAGGGGCAGGGACGGCGCACGAGCGAACGAACGGGCCAAGACAGAAGGCTCCTTGTGGCTGCCCCAGCGGCTCCCTCCAGAGGCCTTCCCCGAGGTACTCCCAGAGATCCCCCCAAAGACCCCCCAGATTTCGGTGGCAACCCATTGGAGCCTACCATACTGTCTTGTCGGCTCTTGCGAATCGACGCTCATCTACGCTGTTCGACTCTAATCGACGCTAAATCGACGCTAATCCACGCTAGCCGGCGCTAAATCGGCGCTAGCTCATCGAATCCAAGACACCAATTGATGCTAATCGACGCTGAAGACGGACGGAATTAAGAGGGAGTACCAGGCTCCCATGGCTTGGTACCAAGCAAGCGACTCCCCCAGGACGGGGGAGAAAAGGGGAAGGAGCAGAGGAGGGGAAGGAGGAGGGGAGGAGCAGAGGAGGAGGGAAGGAGCAGAGGAGGAGGGGAAGGAGCTGGAGGAGCAGAGGAGGAGGTGGGGAGGAGCAGAGGGGAGGAGCAGAGGGGAGGAGCAGAGGAGGAGGAGGGGAAGCAGCAGAGGAGGGAAGGAGCAAAGGAGGGGAAGGAGGGAAAGGAGGAGAGGGAGCAGAGGGGAGGGAGGACTGGACGCCACATGGACAGGCAGCAGGCGACCAGGGAGAGCAGGCAGAGGGGCCACGGCGACGCGGGAGGGCGAGGGGGGAAGGGGGGGGGGGGGCGGGGCAGGGGTCGACGAGCGGGATCGAGGCTTCTGCACCTCGTCTGCCCCTTCCACAGACTACCTGGGGCCTCCATCGGAGGAGCAAGAGCCGAGGCGAGAGGGCGAAGAAGAGGAGGGAGGAGAAGGAGGAGGAGGAGGCGCAAGAGGATCAGGCAGAAGGAGAACAAGGAGCAGCACCTCCTCCTCCTCCTCCTCCTGATCCTCACCCTCATCCTCATCCGCATCATCATTATCATCCTCATCCTCCTTGCGCACATCCTCCTGACGCAAATAGGAGAAATGGGCGAAACCAGCAATACCGTGACGGCGACGTCGATCGCAACGACGGCGGCGGCAGCAGCGTCGTCGTCGTCGACGACGACTCTGGCTTTACAGCCGATGCGCGGGGAAGCGTCGACGTCTCCGGCGTCCTCGCCGTCGCCGTCGGCGACATCCTCGGCCACAGCAACGACAGCGCCGCAGCGCGCTTCACAAACCATGACGACGAGTGCGGCGGCGGCGACTGCAGAGGTCCTGCCCCCTCACGCCGCGGCCGCGCGCTCGCGGGGGGGGGGGGTGCGACCAGTATAGGCTTGAAGGCGTTCGAAATCAGCAGCTTCCTCCCGAGCCACGTCGAGACCAGCCGCCGCCGCGACACACTGGGGCGGCGATGTCGTCGTCATCGTCGTCCTCCTCCTCCTCCTCCTGCTTCTTCTGCCACGCCTCCCTCCTCCCCCTCCTCCTCCCCCTCCTGCTCCTCCTCCTCCTCCTCCTCCTCCTCCTCCTCCTCCTCCTCCTCCTCCTCCTCCTCCTCCTCCTCCTCCTCCTCCTGCACTCTCTCCTCCTCTTCCTCCTCCTCCTCCGCCTCCTCCTCCTCCTCTTCCTCATCCTCCTCCGCTTCCTGCTCCTCCTCCTCCGCCTCCTCCTCCTCCTCGTCAATCCTCCCCCTCCAGTTCCCGCTCGTGTTCCCACTCATCCATGGGGAAAAGGAACAGGTGGAGCGGGGGGGGAGGGGGCGACGGTGCGGAGGAAGGCGCACGGTGAGGGAGAGGGAGGAAGATGGAGAGCAGGAGGAAGAGGAGGGGGGGGAGGGCGGAGGGAAGAAGAGGCTACGACGGTTTCTCCTCACTAGCGAAGCGGGGCACGGAGCACGGGGCGCGGCTCGGCCTGCCTCCGAAGAGGCAGATCCCGAAAAGCAGCAAGGCGAAGCCCGGTCACTGGGCCAACTACACAGCGAAGCGCGCCAGGCGCTCGCGCATGCGCCCCGCGGCGGCGCACTCAGCACACTGGCGGGAGCTCGCAAAGAAGCGACGCACGGGAATGCAAGCACGCCTCGAAGCCTCAGGACGCAGGTCCGCACGGGCAGCGGGCTGGGGCAAGGACCCACTGCTGCTGACCTTGCTTACGCCTTGCAAGACCGTGCACGTGCAGCAGAAGGCACCGAGGGAGGACCACGACAGTGTGCACCCCAAGGAGTTACATGAAACACTCTGGCGCCCGGGCACTTGGCGCCGTTGCAAGCAGCGGCGGCAGCAGCCTGAGGGTTGAAGCCAGCCATGGACGCCCTTCTCGGTCCACCTCCGCGTCCCCGCCCGCGTCGCTGCTCCTGGCCGCGGGAGGAGAACGGCACGGCGAGGACGCACGGGCGGCTCCGGACCGGGGGGCCCAGGAGGATGCAGGAGCACGGCGCGGAGGCAGCTGCACGGGGAGGGCGGCAGCGGCAGGCCGCACGTCGCCAGGCCGAGGGCTGGCACACGCTCGGCAGCAACGCCAGGCGCGGCACGCGTCTGACTACCTACCAGACCACCCCAGCCCAACCCGAAGACCCGAATTTGACCCGAATTTCGGGTTGGGAGGGGGTACGGGTTCCATGTGTTTTTTCAACGTTCCCCGACCCCCCCCCCCCACTGGAAATGGAGGGCAAATCGAGGCCTTCGGGTTGGGTTGGGGTGGTTTGGTAGGTGGTGCATTGGGGAGCGCCCGCCAGAGTGCCTCGCCGGTGCGCGACGGGCGGCAGCAGCGGTGGCCCGCGCATCTCGAGCACAAGCCGCGCCCCATCCCTGTAGCCGCAGCAGGCCGCCAGAGGCGAAAAAGCGCGCGGCGCGCGGCCGGGAACCCATGTTGACCCTCGGGCTTCATGCTCGTGAACAGTGGGGGCTGTCGGGGCCAAACGCCCAGCCGGCCCTACCGACACGGTTGATAGTGCGACAGGGAGTAAGTAAGGAAATGGCATGGGGGGAAGAAGAAAAGGACGACGACGACGCGGGGGGCGAAGAGAGAGGAGGGAAGAGAGGGGGAGGCGGAGGAACACGTGAGAGGCAGGAGTGGGGAGTAGGAGGATAGGAAGAGGGACAAGTTGAAGGCAGGCAGCAGGAAGGACAGGGAGGTGGGGGGAGGAGGAGAACGAAGAGGCGGAGAAGGAAAAGGAAGTTTGGAGGACGAAATGCCCGCCTTATCTTCGCAGGCCTGGCGTAGACTTCCCACGCCAAGTCCGCCCCGTCCCACTCCGGTATCACGTCGCTAGTGTCGCAGTTCCTGCCGGCTCGATTGCCCCAGATGCTCTGCCAGATCAGGAGCAAAGGGGGACGGACACGGAAAGGCTACCATCGTCCTTCTCTCATATCCGTCCTTCTCATCATCCCGCCTCATCATCATCATCATCATCATCATCATCATCACCACCATCATCATCATCATCATCATCATCATCATCATCATCATCATCACCGTCATCATCATCATCATTCCCCCCCCCCCATCAAGCTCGAACGAATTCCCTCTCCTCATCCTCCTCCCCATCGTATTATTCCTAATAGTATAACTCGTTGTTCTTATGTTTCTGGTTACGGTTCGTATTATTGTTAATACTCTCTTATCATGTTTAACATGTGTTCGTATTCATACTAGTACTATACGTATCACTCGCATTGATAGTAAGTGCGCGTTGCGGCTAATATTAATATCAGTGGTATTCGTATTATTCATGATATGAGTATCATTCATGTTAGTGTTAATAATATGTTTATCAGTGTTGTCTTTATTATTCGTCAATTGATTGTTAGTGTATTTCGTTTCCCAAATTAGTACGGTTCGTTTAATTTTTCTTATTGGAAGTATTGGTTTTGTCATCAGTTGTACTATGAGTAACATTATGTTCATTTTAGTGTTTTGACTCGGTTTCGTCTTCCCACTAACGTTGGTAGTCCTCTTCGTCGTATAACGAAGTGTCACTATTACGAGCACTGCTACTACGAATACTCTTCTCATTACTACTGCATGAGATCTGTCAGTTCTCGTATTAGAATGTTAATATTGTTATGATTAATTGATTGATTGGGCAGCTGATGGCGGCAGCTGTGGCTCTGTGACTGACGACTCCAGACCTGCAGCCTGGGCTGGAAACATTGAACGCTACGTACATCACTGGCACGTCCAAGAGGAGGGAGGGGAGGAGGAAGGGGGGGGAAAAAACAGGAACAACGGGGACTCAGAGCTGGAGCTTCGCGGTGGCCAGCGCCACGCCCTCGCCCCACCGGGCGGCCGGTTGCCCCCGGCAGACGCGCGTGCGAGGGCGCCCTCGGTGTTGTCGGTCCCGGCGGTCTTGGAGCCAGTGGCCGTCGTGCCAGAGCGCCAGTCTCGTGCTTCACTGCTGCTGGCAATGGGCCCGCCTGATATGACCGTCCCAATCTACCACTCGCTTGCACCAAAAGGTCGACCATCTTCCATGCTCCCACGCCTTGCGCGCGGTACGGGCGTTCCGGCGCTGAGCGAAGGACTCAGCGTTGTCGCCGGGGCACTTCCGCATTCGCATAGCGGCTGTAACCAACCTTGTCTGCAAGCGATCGACCATTGCCAGCTGCTCCGCGCGCGGCGGCCACCGCGAGCATCGGTAGGCGAAGGGTGCTAAACACGATCGGGAAATGAGCCAGAGCTTGACCTGCAGCGGCGCCTTTGAGAAAGATGCCGCCCCGGCGTTGGCAAAGAAAGCTTTCCAAACGGCTTTCTTGGTCTTCTGTATACACGGCACCACGCTGCCATTCGCCGCGATTGTGTGGCCGAGGACCGGGAGCTCATTGACAGTCTGCCAACCAGGAAACTGCGTCTCGCCAGCCTGGCGAGACACAGTATTGTAATTGCTTGTATTAGTTGTCTTACGAATACTGATATCAGCATTGCGACGGTGATGATTAGTACGATTCGTACTATTATTGACAGCATTAAATTCTATATATTGACATCAGTATTAGTACTCATCGCTTCTGAATATGAATCATATGATGTGTATGTTCCCTCTGATCCCTCATCTTCGTCATCCTCCTCCTCCTCCCCCCCCCTCCTTCCTCCTCTTCCTTCTCCTCCTCCTCCTTCTCCTCCTCCTCCTCCTCCTCCTCCTCTTCCTCATCCTCATGATCATCATCATCCATTCGTAACCTGTTCTACTCCCTCCTCATCCTCTTCGTGCTCATCCTAGCCCTCCTTCTCCTCCATCAGCATACTTTCGTTTCCCCTTCCCCTCTCCTCGTCCTCCTTGTCTTCCTCCTCCTCGTCCTACTGCTCCTCGTCCTCCTCCTCCTCCTCTTCCTCCTCCTCGCGCCCGAATCCCTGGGAGAAATATGCTGGCGGTTGCGAAACCCACTGCGGTGGGAGTGGCTCGGGTATGGTGGCGGGTGTCCTGGCGTGCCTGGTCCGTCCAAAACAAACGGAAAAAAACGGGTGCGGACAAGAGATCCCGAACTTGTCTATGCTGTCACCAGACCCACTCACATCATCCCATTGATCATATCATGTGGCCGTCACGCACATTAACAGACCCGGAAACGATCCACATCGGGACAAACACAAACACACACACACACACACACATACACATACACATACACACACTTGTTCGGTCGCACGCCGCCAGAGCAGGAAGACGCCCAGGCGCCCAATGTCAGACAATACGTAGGACGGACGGCCCCGCACGGGGCAGTGGCCAAAAGGCAGCGGGGCAGGCGGCCCAGGCAGCAGCGGCGCCAGCGGCACCGGAGCGGCCACACTTTGTCCTCCGCAGTGAATACGAAGGGGGGAAGCGATTAGCTCAACTACCACCTGACATAGCATGTGGGAGGCCTGGATGAAAGCAGACGCATGCACAAAAACGCGAGACCGCGGGTGCGCGTGCAAAAACGAAAGATGGGCTAGGCTGGTGCCGAAGCGCACGGAAAACAACTGGCATGGATAGCAGGAGAGACAAGAAGTGCACGCGAAGTTAAAGAGCGCGATGCGAAGGCAGCCAGCGCAGCATCAAACGCAGGAGGCCCATGGAGAGTAGATATGTGCGGGCTAAAGGCGAAGCAGACCGTGCGAATGGGGGCACGAAGGTGGAATATAAATGTAAAAAGACTGAACGAGCATGTAAGCTGTTCACGAAGCCCACTTGCAGGCGCGGCGCCGCACCACTGCGGAAGTTCGTACAGACAAGAGCCGACAAGTCTAGATAACTGCGGCGAGCAGCCTGGACAGCCCTACGCATACACACACACACACAAGCACACACACAAGCACACACACAAGCACACACACACACACACACACACACACACACACACACACACACACACACACACACACGCGCGCGGTCGCGACCTCGCGCGCAGCATCGAGGCGGACAAAGCCACCGAACGGGCGGGCGCGCGCGCACGGGCAGCCGCCCAGAGCGCGAGGGACCCGTATTGAGTCGACCAGCCATCTGCTGACCCGGGCATGGGCAGCGAGGATGCCGTGGGTGGAAATGGCAAAGACCCGACACGAGGAGGCACAGCACGACGAGCGACGAATGACAAATAGACGGCCGAGGCAAAGACGGCAGCACGAAGCTGCAAGGAGGGTGGTAGACGGAGAGGGGCCAGGCAGAGAACGACAATGCGGGCAGTCGAGAGCGGCTGGGCACAGGGCGAAAGAGAGATGAGAGCAGGGAGGACAGCGCAGTGCAACCAGACGACCGTCGAAGCGGTAGACGCGGGACCCCACCCAAAAAGGTGAGCCGAGTGAAGCACGGCGAGAGCTGGGGGCGATCCGCCACCTGGCAAGCCAGCCCCGCAACGCAAGTGTTCAGACAGGCGGGACTGGCGCATGTGGAAGCAAGTCAACGCCCAGAGCGCGCGCCAACCAAGACGGGTCACGCGAGGGCCCTTGCTTGCCCGAGCTCGGCTCGTCGCCTGAGGCCGGAGGCGCGGGCGGCGGCTCCCACTCCAAAGGCACGTTCGCAGTGACAAGCTGAGCTGGTCGAAGGGTCCGCATGGGCAGACGACCAACGCAGGCCCGGCGTCCCAGGTCCAGCCCCGGGACCGATACCGGCTCCCCTGGGACATTGTAGATTCATATTCAGGATGGACATGTGGTCAGAATCATATATGATTTGCATACCCGAAAGGGGAACGGATAACGCCGGCGGGGGGGGTAGAGTCTATTCTCTTTTTAGAAAGAGGAAATTACTGTACCAAAGGCGTTGACACTTTCCATACTCTTGCAAACACCCCACCCACCCACCCGCAACTTGGTTTACAAAACCCATGCGGTGGCGATTGCGATGCATGCTTGGCGTTGGCTGGCGCATCTCTGCGGCCGCGCGCGCCAACCCAAGCGCGCGCGCAGCGGCCAGCTAGTTTGGCGCGACCGACGCGGCCGCGGTGGCGCTGACCGCTGGGCACATCCCAGCGGGCACTTCACTGCGACTCGGCGACTTGGGCGGGCGCGGTATCATGGCAACGTCGACAACGGTAGACACGATGATGATAGTAGCGACGCTGGTGGCGATGCTGAATACGACAACGGTGCGGCCAGTGCGAGCGCCGATGCTGAACACGCCGACGACGATGACGGCGTCCTCGCGTCGGCGATGGAGGTTTTAGGAAAGGCTCGACTTGCGTGCGCGGCCAAGGCGCGAGAGTTGCCCGCTACGTATTATTTGACACGGACCGTGCCCCCCCCGCACGCGCGCAAGGGCGCGCGAATGATGTCGGCATGCGGCGACAGAGGCCCGTTTGGCAGAATCCCATGAAAATGTTGAAAAGCCGATGGTGTTCTTAAGAAGTCGCAATAGTGCGAGCGCGTGTTTTTTGAAAAACTGATGTTGCGAAACCATGTGTTGTTATACGCGGTTTGGACACTCAGTTTTGAAATCGCTACGAAACCCAGAAAGGTTTTTGACGGGTTCCTGCATGCGCGCGCGACGACGCGCGCGTGTGCACTTCGTCACATTGGCTGCAAAGGATTATCGCGACGGCACGCGCGCCAGGGCGTTCTCACGATGTCGACATGCGCGCGCGAAGCCCATTCGGTAGCATCTTCTGAAATTTTTGAGATATATATATATATATATATATATAAACAACAAGAACAAAAAACAAACAAAAAAAAGAAAGATAACAAACAAACAAAAAAAGGTATATTGAGCATTTGTAAAAGCGCGCGCAAGCTTTTTCTGAAAATTCGTGTTGCGAAACCATTTGTTTTCATGTTTTCTGGCCACTCGCTTTTGAAATGATTACAAAACCGACGGTTTTTGAAGGATTTCAGCATGCGCGCGCGACGACGCGCGCGTGTGCACTTCGTCATATTGTTTGCAAGGTGTTGTTGAAAACGGGTGGTTTTGATAAACGAGTGCGCGCGCAGAATTGTTTCGCAAAGGATGACGAGGGGGGATACCAGCCCCCCTGGCATGGTGCGAATTCACGTTTAAGATGGACGATGGAGCAGAATCATTTGAAAATTGTAACACGACGAAGGGGTTGATCATCCCGAGGGGGGGATAGTGAATCCTCTTTTTAGAATGGAGAGCACAAGTAGGGCAATCCATGTGGCGCATCGATGTGATGCAAATCACTGCATAGCGATACAATGCGATGCAAGGCAATGCACAGCAAGGCTAAGCAATGCCAAGCCATGCAAAGTAATGCAAGGCACTGCAGAGCAATTCAAAGCAACGCCAAGCCATGCAAAGCAGGGCAATGCGATGCAAAGCAATGCAAAACAATGTAGTGTAATGCAATGCAGAGCAATGCACTGCAAAACAATTGCAATGCAATGCGCTTGCAATGCAATGCAGAGTACGTGCAACGCAATGCGATGGCAATGCAACGGGCGGCCACGGACGGCGGCGACGGGCGGCGGCGGCGAAAACGAGCGCGGCGACCGGCTCCCGAGCGCACAAGCAGAGGCGGCGGACGCCGGCGACGGGCGGCGACGGCGACAACAAGCCGACCGGACCGACACCGAGGCCCATGCTCTTCTGGACCGAGCACGGAGCCCCGAGTGCAGGCACTGTTCGGGGAACGTCTCGTCTGGGTCGCTGGCCGCGGCCTGGACGCCTCGACGGCGACGACGACGACGACGACGAACCTGGAGACTATTTTCAATCGTCCACCTCCCAGTGGGGCGCTGCGGCAGTACACACCCCCTCCCCCAAGCCAGCGGCGACGAACCCGGAACCGCGAGGGCATCCCCCCCACCGCCCCTGTCAAAAAGCCATACCGATCACCACTTTGCGGCCGAATCTGCACATACTTGCAAAGAGGAGAAGGGCAATAAGGAGGGAGGAAGCCGAGAAGGTGACAAAGGAAGAAGAAGGAAGAAGAAGGAAGAGGAGGAAGAAGGAGGGAGGGGGGACGAGGAGAGCCACCCCCCCCGTCCCCACCCCTACGAGAGAAGGAGAGGGAGACAGAAAAAGAGAGAGAGAGAGAGAGAACGTCCCCTTTCCTCCCCTTCCTCCTCGACCTCCTGCTCCTGCTACTCTTCTTGCACCACCTCCACCTCCTCCTCCTCCTCCTCCTCCTCCTCCTCCTCCTCCTCCTCCTCCTCCTCCTCCGCTTCCTCCTCCTCCTCGTCTTCCTCCTCCTCCTACTCCTCCTCATCCTCTTTCTCCCTCTTCCTTCCGTTCCTCCTCCGACGACGACAAAGACACAACAGAGAGGCAGTGACAACAAGAATCGAGCAGGCGCATCCTCCAGGGCATCTCCAAATCGTGGCCTCCCCCCAGCCAATGATGGGCCCAGCCCGGCCCAGCCGGCTGGCGTCCACGGGGGCAGGCGCAGAGTCGAGGAGAGAAATGAAGGAGGGAAGGGGGACAAGGAGAGGGGGGATAACCCGACCGTTCGATCGCCATTCTGCCGTGTTCTTCGTCCTCTGTCCGAAGGGGTCGAGGCATATTCAAGCAGCTAGAGCTCGATGAAAGCTTCAAAACGGCGGTAGACATGGCACGATCGGTCTTGTGTGGACTACGTCCAGGCTCAAGACCCGATTCGAAGAATGGTAATACATACGATTCATCACGGATGAAGGGAAGGAAGAGGAAGGTGAAGAGGTCGAGAACAGGGGGGGGGGGGGGGAAACACAGAGAAAATGATTATGACCATTATTATAAAAAAACAATGATAACCATAATGATGATAATAACACTACAAATGATAATACTAATAACACTGATAACAATAATGATCTTAATCATAAAATCACAAAAATTATGAACAATCAGAATGATGATAACCCCACCAGATCTAACGGGATTCATTATTTCCTCTTCCAAAAACCCTCTTCCCCTTCGGGGAGGGGTTTATCACTGTTCCCTATGAATATACACCCCCTCCCCCGGGCAACTGCGAGCCAACCCAGGTCAATGCGGGCCACCCCACCATCCCTTGTAAAAACAATACCAAACACACTCTGCCCCCACCATCCCTTGTAAATATATATATATATATATATATATATAAACACAAAAAAAAAAAAACAAAAAAAAAAAAAAAAAAAAAAAAAAAAAACTCTGTCTCTCGGAGCATGTGCAGGGAACCCGATGCGGCCTCCCCCCACCATCCCTGTCAAAAAACAATACAGAGTACACTTGGCGGCGGCGGCGGCGGCTGCGGCGGCTGCGGCGGGGGCAGCGGCTGCGGCGGCTGCGGCGGTGGCGGCGGCGGTGGCGGCGGCGGCGGCGGCGGCGGCGGCGGCGGCGGCGGCGGCGGCGGTGGCGGCGGCGGCAGCGACTGCGGCAGCGACTGCGGCGGCAGCGGCTGCGGCGGCGGCGATTTGGCAGCGGCGGCGGCGGCGGCGGCGGGCAGCGCAGTCGCGGCGGCGGCAGCGGCGGACAGCGGCGGCGGCGGCGGTGGCGCCGGCGCCGGCGGCGGCGGCGGGCGGCGGCGGCGGAGGCGGCGGCGGCGGCGGCGGATTGGCCCCCAGTAGCTGGCCATCCAAAGACGACTGCTGCATGTGCTGCGGCTCGGGCCAGGCTCGGGTGCTACGTCTGTGTTGGGAGGGCGGGTGGGAGTGCGAGACGGCTTGCGGGCGGGGAGGGAGACTCTTGACCCCTCCCGTGGACTTTTTGGGGGGGGTTCGCGGGGCGTTGGAGGGTCCTTTTTCGGCCCCTGAGAGGGCCAATTTTTGACACCGCTCACGAGGATCGTGGCCCCCGAGGGGGCGACCTCGATCGGGACCCCCCCTCCTTTGATCGATAGCCATGAAGGATGGCCCCAAGAGGCGCTCCAGGGCTCCCAAGAGAGCCACTAGAAAGCCCCAAGAGGGCTCCAAAAGGGTCCCAAGAGGGCCCCAAGAGGCACCCGAGAGGCCCCCAAGAGGCCCCCGAGCGGCCTCAGAGAGCCCAAGATGACCTCCAAGATGGCTCAGATGGCCCAAGCTGGCTCAAGATGGCTCCCAAGATGCTCCCAACGGCCCCAAGACCGCTCCGAGAGTGCCCAATGCTGGCTCCTGAGGGGGGAGCTGAGTTGGGGACCCCCCCATCCTGTTATCGATGGCCTCCAATATGATCCCAAGAAGCCTTCCAGGGTTACCAAGAGGGTTCCAAGAGGGTCCCAAAAACTCCCAGAGAGCACCAGCAGCAGCAGCAGCAGCCTAGTCCTCGTCCTCCTCGTCCTCGTCCTCATCCGCGTCCTCGTCCTCCTATTCCTCCTCGTCCTCATCCTCCTCCTGCTCCTCCTCCTCTTCCCCTCGCCCCCACGCGGCCCCCAGGGATGGCCCGAAGAGGCCTTCCAAGGCCACACCCTTGCTCCCAGAGATCTATCGGTTCACCCTGCTTATTCGCTTTGTTTCCCTAGATGTGTCTCTTCGTCTATTTTCCCGTCAGCTCTCATGGGCAGGGCTTCTGAATGGGCTGGTGGGGATATTTGTTTTTTTTCCGTCGCAGCCGCAAGCGAAGGCGCATGCAGTGTCAGAGGTCAACCCGGGCTACGGTCAACCCGCGCGTGAAGCGTGAGGAATAAAAATAATACGAAAGATGATCGTAATAATCA